TAGGAAACCAAATTTGAAAATACATCAAAATATCATCCATCATGATCAAGCAGGAGTTATGCCAGGGATGCAAGGATAGTACAACATTCGAAAAACCATCAACATTATCCACCATATCAACAAAAAGGACAAAAACCACATAATCGTCTCCATAGATGCTGAAAAAGCATTCGACAAAATTCAACATCCATTCATGATAAAATCTCTCAACAAAATGGGTATAGAGGGCAAGTACCTCAACATAATAAAGGCCATGTATGATAAAGCCACATCATACTTAACAGCGAGAAGCTGAAAGCTTTTCCTTTAAGACTGGGAACAAGAAAAGAATGCTCACTCTCCCCACTTTTATTCAACATAGTTCTGGAGGTTCTAGCCATGGCAATCAGGCAACACAAAGAAACAAAAGGCACCCAGATTAGCAAGGAGGAGGTTAAACTGTCCCTGTTTGCAAATGACATGACATTGTACATAAAACCCTAAAGAATCCACTCCAAAACTACTAGATCTAATATCTGAATGCAGCAAAGTTGCAGGATACAAAATTAATACACAGAAATCTGTGGCATTCCTACACACTAACGATGAACTAGCAGAAAGAGAAATCAGGAAAACAATTCCATTTATAATTGCATCAAAAAGAATAAAGTACCTAGGAACAAACCTAACCAAGGAAATGACAGACCTATACTCTGAAAACTACAAGACACTCATGAGAGAAATGAAAAGATACCAATAAATGGAAACACATCCTGTGCTCATGGATAGGAAGAATTAATATTGTCAAAATGGCCATCCTGCCTAAAGCAATCTACAGATTCAATGCAATCCCTATCAAAATTTCAACAGCATTCTTCAATGAACTGGAGCAAATAGTTCTAAAATTCATATGGAACCACAAGACACTGAATAGCCGAGCAATCCTGAGGGGGAAGAATAAAGCAGAGGGGATTACGCTCCCCGACTTCAAGCTCTACTACAAAGCCACTGTCATCAAGACAATTTGGTACTGGTACAAGAACAGACCCACTGACCAATGGAACAAACTAGAGAGCCCAGATATAAACCCAAGTATATATAGTCAATCAATATATGATAAAGGAGCCATGGATAGACAATGGGGAAATGACAGCCTCTTCAACAGCTGGTGTTGGCAAAACTGGACAGCCACATGCAAGAGAATGAAACTGGATTATTATTTAACCTCATACACAAAAGTAAACTCGAAATGGATTAAAGACTTGAAATGTAAGTCATGAAACCATAAAACTCTTATAAGACAACATAGGCAAACATCTCCTGAATATAAGCATGAGCAACTTCTTCCTGAACCCATCTGCTCAAGCAAGTGAAACAAAAGCTAAAATGAACTCATGGGACTACATCAAGCCTAAAAGCTTCTGTACAGCAAAGGACACCATCAACAGAACAAAAAGGCATCCTACAGTATGGGAGAATGTATTTGTAAATGACATATCCAACAAGGGGTTAACATCCAAAATATATAAAAGCTTCAACACCCAAAAAGCAAATAACCCTATTAAAAAATGGGTAGAGATTATGAACAGACACTTCTCCAAAGAAGAAATTCAGATGGCCAACAGGCATAAGAAAAGATGCTCCACATTGCTAATTATCAGAGAAATTGAAACCACAATGAGCTATCACCTCACGCCAGTTAGTATGGCCAATATCAAAAAAACTAAGAACAACAAATGCTGGTGAGGATGCAGAGAAAGGGGAATCCTCCTACACTGCTGGTGGGAATGTATATGAGTTCAACCATTGTGGAAAGCAATATGGAGATACCTCAAAAAATTAAAAATAGAAATATCATTTGAGCTGGTAATTCCACTCCTAGGACCTTACCCAAAGAAATCAACTTATCAGATTCAAAAAGACATATGCATCCCTATGTTTACTGCAGCACTATTTATAACAGTGAAAAGATACGGAAGCAACCTAAGTGTCCATCAGTAGATGAATGGATAAAGGAGATGTACATATATGCAATGGAATACTATTCAGCCATAAGAAAGAAGCAAATCCTACCATTTGCAACAACAAGGATGGAGCTAGAGGGTATTATGCTTAGTGAAATAAGTCAGGCAGAGAAAGACAAATACCAAATAATTTCCCTCATTTGTGAAGTATAACAATGAAGCAAAATGGAAGGAATAAAATAGCAGCAGACTCACAGACTCCAAGAAGGGACTAGTAGTTACCAAAGGGGGTTGGGTAGGGAGGGAGAAGAAGGGGATTGTGGGGTATCATGATTGGTGCACATAGTGTGTGTGGAGTCATGGGGAAGACAGTGTAGCTCAAAGAAGACAAATAGGGACTCTGTGGCATCTTACTACACTGATGGACAGTGACTGCTATGGGGCAAGGGGGGACATTCAATAATAAGGGTGAATGTAATAACCACCGTGTTTTTCTTGTGAAACCTTTATAAGAATGTATATCAATGACACTTCAATGAAAATAAAAAAAGAGTACTGAGAAGTGTTCTATAATCAAAAAGTTTGAGAAATACTAATATAGACCAATTACTTCTGAGTCTAGCTAAAACTTCTATTTACTTTAGATTGAAAATATAGAAGGTAAGTCATTAAACTACATCAGTCTCACTGACTGGGGACTGAGTTGACAAAAACTTCATTCTTCAATACTTTTCCAAACATACTTTTAAACCAGAGATACAAAATGATCTAAGCCTGTGAGTTTCAATCACGAGAAAACTTAGACATGTGAATATTTTGTATGTAAAATTACTATTCAAGACATTTACTCACCTTTTAAAATAATTTTGTATATAAAAGGCTCTTATAATAAAATTACCTTAGATTTTTTTTAAAGATGAGAGTCTAGAGCAAAACCTTGGGAATCAACATTTAATGGATAGATAGAATTCAAGGTGCCTCTATATAAGTTAGGAATATGTAAGCCTCTATATTGAACAGAAAGACAGAAAACCTGAAGAGTGATAGCTGGAAGCCAAGAGGAAAGTGTTTCAGAAGAAAAAGGTCTTGAATATGTCATTGCTGCAGAAAGGTTGTAAGAGAGAGGAGTGGGTCTCCATTTACTTAGCAAAGAGGAGGTTATTAGTGACTTTGAAGAGCAATTTCAGTGAAGACAATGGTCAGAAGACTAAATACACGAGGAGAGAAAACAGATATAGTAAGGTATAGAAAGAACTCTTACAAGACTTTAGTTGTAAAGGGGGAGTGAGCTGGGTGATGCCCACAATTAATATGGAGTTAAAAGAAAACGTGTCAAGATGGATGTTAAGGATATGAAAGGTAATGTATAATAAATGAACAAGATTACAAAGGGGGGAGGAAATCAGATCCATAATACAGGAAATATAACTATATAGCAGGAGGGAGGCCTTTTATAAAAAGTAACAGGAAGTAAAGAAGTTTAGTTGTGAAAAAACACTAATTTGTGGAAGTAGTGGGAGGAAGTTGAGGGAGTCCGTGGATAAAGAGTTTCATCACCTCTGTGTAGTAAACAGTAAGCAGGAGAAATGGAGGAATTGGAGACTTAAGTAGAGGTTTGAAATAGCTACTATGAAGAGGAGAGAACTGACTTGGGTTTCTGAACATTTTAAATGAGAAGAAATTTTTATTCTCTATAGATAAGCATCCGTATGTTTCAGAATGTTTTTTTATCCAAATATAATTAAAATGAAAAGAATGTTGAGTGTATTAAATTAATCCCTTAGTATTTAGCAAAAGTTACTGTCCAACCTAGAATAATCAAGGTTTGTCATATTTTATTTCATTATATTAACTAATTTATCAACTACAATGGGACATTATAGCTAGCTGCCTTTACTGCTATTTTGTGGGAGTTATTGGAATGGCTTGTGAAATCCCAATGAATTATCATAGGGAAGTTTCCTACTTGTTCTTAGAAGCAACTTTTTAACAGACAACACTGTCCAAAGATGGAATGAATTTTCTTAAAAAAGTACTGATTTTCAAATTACTGGAAGGGCATTTAGGGTACTTTATAAGTATTAGTCTAGAAGTTTTCAGAGACTGTTCTTGAATATAGTAGTAAATAATTTAAGGTTGCAGGTTCTAGGCTGTTACAAGTACTCAACTCATCCATGGTAGCTCAGAAACAGCCATAGAAAATATGTAACCAAATGGGCATGGCTGTGTTCTAAAAAACTATTTGCAAAACCAGGTGGCAGGCCTACAAGCTAGAGTTTTCTAACGCCTGGTCTAAGATTTCAGCACCTAAGTTCCCTGCTGAGGAATTGCTTAAATTCTTAAAACTCTAGTTTTGCCATCGCTAAGCACAGTAAGAAAGCTACTGAATTAATGAGGTTAAGTATATAAATTATATTAAAATTCCTAGCATACCCAACATATTCAATGTATGTGAGTTCCCTTTCTCTATATTTGGTAATGTGAGGCTATAGTGTTCACCGTCCAGGTCATAGAATAGAAAAGAAAACATTCATAGTGTAGAAAATAAATGCTTATTTGTTAAGACAATGATTCAAAGATGGCTTTGCTAATTTTTCATGAACAAATCACATATCTCAATTATCATCTGATTTTTTATTTCTTCTAAGGATGAAAGCCAACAATTTCCTAGAAATAATTTTTCCAGGTACTTAAGATTTTAAAATCTCACTTTTACATTTTATGTGGAACGACAAACATAAATTTAGAACTTTTTTTAACCTTGGCATTGAGGAACTTAAAAATCTACAAATATAAAATTCCAAAGGACTGTGATGCTACACAATAAAGTTCCAGAGGGAAAAAAAGGATGGGGAAGTTGAAAGACACTTTCTCTGCCTTTGCTCTGCTACTATTTGCCATTTTCTGCCTTGTAACTCAGTAAGGTAGGAACAAGTCATACAATGATTCTGAAAGAATAGGGAGATTACAGTTGAAAGAAAAGTGTTTTGAAGTCCACAGAAAGTCTACAAAGTAATCAATAAACTGACTGCATAAACAATCATTTAAAAAACTCACCATCTCTATTAGTTTCCCATTCTACGTTTTCTTCTTCACTTTCTGGAGTTCTCTCCTTAGTGATTTTTATGTCTTCCTTTTCCCTATGTCTGCCTCTTGAAGATTCTTTCTAAAAAGTACATACATACAGATTACTATATTTAATTAAAACTTTGTGAGATAGTTACTGCAAGACAGAGTATTTCTAACTTCATTCACCTTTGTTTCATTAAAAAATCCGTTTTGCAAATAATCACTTTATCTACTTACTCGGTAGAGAAAGTGACAAGTTTTGTGTATTACCACAATATAAATCCTATACTGTATCTATTTTTACTAAAGAACTGCAACTTCTTAAGGTTACATTTCTTTAGTAAATGTAAGGAATAAATGTAGAGTAACTGGGATTTTAAAATACACAATGCAAATCTAATACTTTAATAAGCACTTGATAGTGTACCACACCCTAAGTTTCTATGTGAAAATCATAAGGGGAAAGTTTAAAATGGATAAAATACAACAGAAGGATTTATAAGTGAATATGAGAAAAAATGACTAAAATGGGTTACACTGTTCAGAGTAGACTCACAAAAATAATTGCTGATCTGACTTTCATAGTTATGTAACAGCATTCTCCTACACAGCTAAAGACAAATCCAAACTCATTTAATTATTTTACAAATCCTTCAACAAAAGGATTTTTCCCTATTTTGATGAAACCAAAATGGTAGCTAATATAGAAAATCAATCCTTATATTGCAACTGAAAAACAGAAGGTTTTACATTTATTTCCAGGTGTAACAGTAACATACAGTCAAAACAGGATAATAGTAATTTCGCTTACAAAAATTAAATATCCTATTACACAAGATAAAGATTCCAAACCACATTTTGTTAAATGGTAAGAAAATAGTGTCACAAAGTTATTACCTTCTCACCACAGTGTCTCTTTCATTAATACTCTCAGTCCTGACTACAAAAGACCCTAACACACAAAAACATTAATTGCTAAAAGTTCTTTCTCGGCATTACAAGATAAAATTTGTAATCACAAAACACAATTTCTCTTTGAAACATTCTCTTTAAAGAACTCTAATAATTGCCCCTAAATTTTACTTATTTAGGTATGAAGTCATGTTGTTAGTGTTAGTTGCTATATGACACATATGGTTGTTGGTAAGACAACAGGTGACAAAAATCCTTAAAAGATTGTATAAGAGTAGAACTAGCCATGGAAATATGGTAAAAGATAAAAAAAAAAAAGGGAAAGGAAAGAAGCTGCTATTTATATTAAGGCAAAAGGAACAAAATCTATTTTTACTCTTAAAATATATTCTATGGAACATCAATGAAGAACCACTCTATATCCCATGCACCTTCTGAATGTTCTAAGGATTAAACCCGTTACAGTATGTTTAGTATGTACTATACAAAAAAATTTTATTGGAAGTTACATCCAAATTATTGAATAATATATTGCTTTTCTATCTACTGAAAATATCAGGTAATATCCAATTACAAATATTAGCTGACAAGGGTTTCAGAGCAATTATGTTGGTACTGCAAAATCAACAATCTACAAATTTGTAACAATATTTTTAACATATTTAGAACTGAAAATACAATCTCAATAAATTTCAGTAGCAATTTATGTAAATATTTTATATTTACTGTATATATTGAAATTATGTCATTTTTGAGTTGTCTATTATTTTTCAGTACGAGTCTGATACTGTCCCCAAAGATCATGAATAATTTCTATTATCAAGTACTGGAGACTGAATCCAGGTGGAATTTCAAGTTAGAAGACATGTTTTTTCTAATACTTTGTCACTATCTCATCTCAAATCATAATATGTTCCTTTGCTCTTTCTCTTGTCATATTCAAATAAGTAGGATTGGGTATTGTTCAATGTAGTACAGCATGGTCTGCTCTTTTACCTTCCTCTGTTTCTTGAACAGACTGGCTTGTCATCTTACTTTTCAGAAATGCATACATATGAATTAGAAGTACAACTGTTTGACTGTTTTATTATGTATTATAAATTAGCCATCCCGAACATGTGCATGTTGAAATATTTGTTAAAGAGCCACAATATTTTAACAAGTATCTTTGCAATAAGAATTCAGAATTGTTTTTGTATTTCAAAGTATATTAAGTAACACCACCAACAGGGTCTGAAGCAGCAATCTATGATCAAACATACTAATATTTTTTCAGCAAAACAAATCAATTCTCCAATTGCATGAAGACAATAATTAGCTTCTTATCAATTAAGATCAAGTTTTGCTGCCAAATAAATTTATGCCTAACTTAGGAAAAATGTTTGGTTTTAAGGTTCTTATGTTTCAGAAACAAAATAAATGACTGTGGATTTTTAATTACTTTCATTTTATTTCTATTTTATATTACATTCATATTTTTTCTTAAACATTATATAAACTGCAGATTATCTTCATTGTGAACTTTATTTTTAGACAGTAAGGAGGTATGACCAAGAATTGGATCTACAAAGAAGTGTTGAGCTAAAAGAGTTGAAAACTAGTAAAACTGGATTTAGCAACTAGAAATATTAAAAGTCTTTGTAAGTAATATAATCTAACCTTCCCCAAGCAGAAAAGGTTTTCTTAAATATTGTATAGTTATAGAAGTCCTCTATTAGGAGAATTTCAGGAAAAAAAATTTATTCCTGAGGTCTCTGCTGTTCACTAATGTAACCCTGTGCTCCCATTTTCACAGTTCAAATTATCAGAAAAATCTTACACTCTCTTCTTATACCTCTCCAAAATTTCTGTTGATGAGAACTAGTTCTGCCTCTAGAATTGTGCTAAACAAATCTAGTACTTATTCCATATGATAGCCTTTTAAATATATGAACACTGTTACTACATCTCCTCAATATCTTCTTATACTAGGCCAAATATACCTTACACATTGATCATTAACATTTCATGATCTGCATACTGTTCATCACTATCATCTTTTCTGGGCAAACTAATCTGCCAATGTGCTTCAGTGAAACACGATAACTATAATTAACTGGTTTTGCCAGAGCAGCATATAGCATATTGCTCCTACCTTTCCTGGTGTAGAATTGAAATTATACTTGTATTAATGAAATCTAACTTGTTTTGGGTGGAGCTTAAACAAGAAAACAATCTTACAAAAACTATCTAAATTTAAACTACAATCTCACATAAAAATGAAATCAGAAATAGAGTAAACTTCAAGGATGGGGTGATTTAATAATACACTGAAATCATTACAGACTGAAGTTTCTTTTTTTCCTTTCTCACAGTTCTGCTATTCCTCACATTAAGGCATATTTCTTTTATCATAATAGGAAGCAATGTAGGTTCTGCCAATAAGCCTCTCCCCTTATCACAAAATAAGGCAAAGCAACGGAGACAGTAAGTAAAAGGATCAGTAGTTGCCAGCAGTTAAGGGCATAGAAATGAATTTTTAAGGCAATAAAACTACTCTGTATGTGTTATCACAGAGGATACATGTGATTATACATTTGTTCAATCCCACAGAATGTATAAAATCAAGAGTGAACCCTAATGTAGACTATGGACTTTGAGTGATAATGATGTATTGCTATAGGTGCATCAATTTTAAGAAATGTACCACTTTGGTTGGGGATACTGATGAGGGAGGCTGTGAATCTGTGGGGCAGAAGGATACAGAACATCTCTGTACCTTCTGCTCAATTTTGCAATGAACCTGAAGCTCTAAAAAATAAAGTATTCAAATTACAAAAAGGAAAAGACAAAATGAGAAAATTATCTGCACCTGATATCATAAACAAAAGGTCATTGTCCTTAAAATACAGAAGAAAAAGACCAAAAAAAAGGGAAAATGGGCTGGAGATAGCAAAAGAATTCATAGAAAATGCCCCTTAAATATATGAAGATGTCCAACCTCACTTATAAGAGAAACAAAAATTATATTAATACAGCATTTTTCTATCAAACTGGCAAAAGGTCACAAGTTGGACAACATATGCTAACAAAGCAGAGGAGAAACCAGCACTGTCATATACTGGTGGCAACAATGCAAAATGGTATGGCTCTGAAAAGGAATTTGTCATTATTCAGCAAAACTATATATGCATTTACCCTTGATACATCATTTCCACTCCAGGGATTTCTTTCCCCCTAAGACAAACTAAAAAACAAAAACCCCAAAACAACAAAAACACAAGTGCACAAAGCTATTCACTGCAGTTTTACTTGCAGCAGCAAGACTACAATAACCTAATGCTCATCAGCAGAAGACTGGTTAGGTATATGCATGGTGCACTCGTGGAATGAGGGGCTATGAGAGTGTAAAAAGGCATGAGAAATGTGTATACATCACTATGGAATGGTCTCCTGGACTCCTGTTAAGTTAAAAAAAGGCAAGGTAAAGAAAATGTATACAATATACTAACTTTTATCTAAGAAAAAGCATAATACTCCTATATAAATACTAATTTTTAAGTGCATGTATCATATATACATCGAAAAACTAGTGAAATGGTTATCCACAGGAAATAGGGCAGAGTGATCAGGAGATGAAAGATAAGACTTTTCTAAATATAACCTGTCTTAAATATTTAACTTTGAAACCTTGTAAAATGTTTTATATAATTTAAAAAAACAGAATTAAATCAAAAAGACAAAAAGAAACCCCTAAAACTAAAATTAAGATGAAATAAATCAACCCAACTGCTCTTTCAATTTTGTGGTTTAACCATATAAAGAAGAGCTGTTTCAAGTGACTTCAAGTACAGTAATTTGATTATATATTCCTAAGAGATTTCCACAAGTATTTCCCTAATGGGCTATATTCTAATAACTAAAAAGATACTATAAACAGGTCTCAGCAATCATGTTATTAGTAATACTATTGTTAATTGTTATTCTGGAACCATTAAACATAAGATAATGTAAATGAATGTCAACAGGGACCACAATAGCATATTAGCGTCAGTATAAGCACTAAAAATAGTGCCAAAAATTAGTTGTTCATGATGATATGAACCTAATGTACAAAAGGGGACAAAACTTAACTTTCTTCCCCACCTTAGCTCCTGGCATGGAAAGCCCATAGTTAGGCTTAGCACCTCCCCTCCACTCATTCTT